AGAGACAGAGAGGGACAGAGAGGGAGAGACAGAGACAGAAGGAGAGAGACAGGGAAGGAGAGAGACAGAGAGAAGAGAGACAGGGGAGAGGAGAACGGGCCGTGAAGGGCAGAAGGCAAGGATGTGCTCCCTGAACGCGCCCGGCCGAGGAGGGGAGGCTGGACTGAGAGGCGCATGTCAGGGAAAGCAGCTGCAGGCGAAGGGACAGGAGTAGAGAGAGGGGACACAGAAGCAGCGGGAGGAAGGGGGCGCGGCTGTAAACGGAAGGGCGAGGACCCCCGCCCCGCGCCCCAGAGCGCCCCGCCCCCCGCTGCGGACAGCGCGGGAGGCGCGCGAGGACCCCCGCCGTCAGCTGGGTCCCCAGCGCCACCTCCTGGGGGCAGGAGGACGGGGCGGGAGCCAGAAGCGGGGCGGGGAGGAGTCGGGAGGGAAGGAGAAGAGCTTCCTGCGACGGCGGGCGGGTCGGGGCGGAAGAAGGTGAAGATGAGGGCCAGGAGCTTCATTTAGGAGGAGAAGTAGGGGAGGAGTGTGCGTGTAGAGAGGACAGACCACGAGGGTCGGCGTGAGAGCATAGCACCTGTGTGGGGGCGTGCGGAGAGACAGACAGACAGACGATAGAGAGATACAGACAGGAGTGGGGGGAGGAGGAGCAGGAGGAAGAGAAAAGGGAAAGAAAGACACAGCTGAGAAGTTGTGAGCCGGGGAAAGGAGGCTGTGCGTGGTGTGAGTGCACTAGTGCAAGGAGGGAAGTGAGTGTGTCAGAGAGACACAGATGGGCAGGGACGGAGGAGCAGAGAGGAGAGACAGAGACAGAGAGAGACAGAGAGAGCCTGGGATCCAGAGAACGGGGAGCGGGAGGGGCAGAGGCTCAGGAAGGGAGGGAGACTCTGCCCATCTGAGCCTCAGTTTCCCTGTCTGTTCCCCGGGTGGTGGGAGAGGTAATAATTCATGACTTAGCGACCAGAAGAAGAATCAGCGTCCCCTCTGGTGGGCACGTGCTGCCTCTCAGTTCTGTTCTAGCACTTTCTGTCCCCCGCTCCCTCCCCCACACCAGGGAGTGGCTGTTATCACCCACACTGGTTTTCCAATGAAGAAGTCAAATTGGAGTCCAAATCTGTTGTCACCGTCACCCTGAGGTGAAGACGACCTGTCCCTTCTACCGCAGAGACTCCTTGAGGACACCTAAACCCCTCCTGTCTGGAAAGTTCAGAGCCTCCCCTGCTGAGAAGGCAGAAAAAGAGAAAGAGAGGAAGCCGGTGGAGGGGAAGGGGCAGGGGGGGACAGAGGGTCGAAGGAGAGGATCAGCATGTGTCAATTACCCGGCACACAGTTGGTGCTCAATTAGTGCTCCTTCCCTTTCCAGGTGGAGAGCACTGAGAGCAGGAAGGAAGAGAAGCAGCAGCAGAGAGGAAGGGAGAGGAGGAGAGAGTGTGGGGAGGGGAGGCTGTGCTTATAAAGAGCCTGGCACACAGTAGGTGCTCAATGAATGCCCATTCCCTTCTTCAGGAGAGAGGAGGCAAGTCAGAAAGGAGGCAAAGAAACCACCACAGAGGAAAAACAGGGGAGGGAAGACAGCCTGAGGAGGGAGGGCCATGGGTGGACATTGCCGGGCATTCAGTAGGTGCCTGTTAAGTGTTAGTTCTTTTCTCAGGAGAAAGAAGACAGACAGAAAAGGAGAGGGGAGGGGAAAACTCCAGCAGAGAGATGGAACGGGAGAAGCTGTGGGGGAGGGAGACAGTATAGGTAAAGCAGTGGGCACACAGTAGGTACTTAATAAGTGCCCGTTCCCCTCTGTGGCAGCGAGCCCAGAGAAAGCAGCCAGGGGGAGGGAAGCAAGCAGCGAGGAAGAGAGAAGGGAGAATGGAGCCTGGGAGGCAAGCAATGACAGCGGATACGGAGGAGCAGCATACAGCAGGCGCTCAATATGTGCCTATTTCCTCCCCCTAGGAGAAAGCTGGCAGGGCCGAGAGGAGGGGGAGAAGCTGGAGGAGAGGAGTCAGGGAGAGGAGAGGCAGTGAGCGAGCATGTATGCAGGCGAGGCGGTGGGCACTCAGGGGGCGCTCAATAGATGCACGTTGTCTTCCTTGGAGGGGAGAGAACAAGAAAAAGGAAGGCGCAGACACAGACAAAAGGCCGGGCAAGTCGGCTGGTCCGTGTGCGGAGGAGGCAGTAGGGCTGGCGGAGCAGAGGGAGGAGGTAACTGCGAGAAGATTGGGCAAAGGAGAGGACGCGCAGAGGAGGTAGCGTGGGCAAATCATGGGGGCACACGGGAGGTGCTTCATAAATGCTCGTACTCTCCCCCAGACAGCACGGAGAGGGAGAAGCTGGCAGAGCAAGAGGGGCAGGGAGAAAGAGGCAAGAGGAGATGAGGGGGGATGTTAATTGCCTGGCATACAGTAGGTGCTCCATAATTGCTTGTTTTCTTCCCCAAGAAAGAGCAGATGAGCAGAAAGGAAGAGGAGAAGTCAGAGATGAAGGAGCAGGGAGAATCGAGGGAGAGGGGAGTGTAAGAAAATTGTCTGGCACACAATAGGTGCTCCATAAATGCCCATTTCGTTCCCTGGCAGAGAGCAGAAAGAAGCAGAGGACAGCAGAGACCACAGGTCGGTGGAGACGGACCTGTGGCTGAGAGGAGAGTAAAGAAAGCACAAGCAATTGCTTGGCCTACCATAGGTGCTCAGTAAATGTGTGTTCCTTGCCTTGGAAGAGAGCAGAGAGCCCAGGAGGACAGAGGAGAAACGGGAGGAGTAGGGTGTGAGGAAGGGAGACAAGGTGTGTAAACTGCCTGGCACACAGTGGGTGCTCAATATGTGTCCATTCCCTCCCCCAGGAGGGAACAAAAAGTCAGAAAGGAAAGAAAAGAAAGGAATTGGGGGAGAAGAGAGTGTAACAAGAGAGGTGCAGTGTTTGTCAATTCACTGGCACACAGTAGGTGCTCAATAAATGCCCATTTTCTTCCCAGGAGAGACCAGGCAGATCAGGAAGAAGTGAAAGGAATCAGGGGGGAAGGGACAGGAAAGCAACAAGAGTATGAGGTGCAGAGGCAGTGTATGGAAATTGCCTGGTAAACACTAGGAACTTAATAAATGCCCGTTTCCTCCAAGGAAGGGAGCCAGAAGCGCAGGAAGAACAAGCAGAGGGCACAGAGGAAGGGACAGGGAGACAAGAGGGTGCCAGGAGAGGCAAGGAGGCATTTCAGGTGCATACAGCAGGTGCTCCATAAATGCCTGTCCCCTTCCCCGGCTGAGCAGAAAGCAGGCTGGGAGCCAGCAGAGACCCGGGAAGGGAGGCCGGAAGGAGGAGGGCGAGGGAGGAGGGGGAGTCTGAGGGTGGAGGCGGGGGCAGGCCTCCTCCTGGTGGCCCCCCCAGGGCCCGGCCCATGCCCCAGCTGCCCCCGCTGAAGCAGGGACAGGGGCCCATTGTCCTGGGCCTGGCACGGCCTGGCGGGAGGGGCGTGCCCAGCCCTTGTCTGCTGTGTCTGGGGGGATGGGCGCTGCCTGGGCTCCATCTCTCGGTCTCTGATTCTCTGTGTCTCTGCATCCCCCTGTCTCTGAGCTCACATCTCCCCATCTCGCCGTCTGTGTCTCTGTGTCCTGCTGTCCCAGTGTCTCTCCCGTCTCTGAGTCTGTGGCCCCCTGTCTCGGGGGCTCCCTCTGCATCCATCTCCCATCTCCCCTGTCTCTCCATCTGTCTCTCAGCCTCTGCTTCTGGCTGTCTCTGGGAGGGAGGAGCCCTGACCCTAATCCCAGCCCCGGGTTCCCGCCCCCCACCCACCGGGGATCAGGGCGGGGGGCCGAGCTCAGAGGCAGAGGAGTGAGGAAGGAAAGAAGGAGGCACAGGGGCGAGAGAGGTGAGGACAGAACAGCTTTATTCAGCAGAAACCGCAGCAGAGGGCCGGCGGCCTCCATCCGGAGCTGGAGAGAGAGGAGGGTCAGGAGATGGGAGACGGGAGAGGGGAGGGCGGAGAGAGAGTCAGGGAGAGGCAGAGAGACAGACAGAGACCCAGAGAGAAGAGGAGGGAGAGACAGAGAGACAGGAGAGAAGGGAGAGAGAGGAGTGGGAGGAAGCTCAGAGGTAGAGAGAGAGATGGGAAGACAGAGAGACAGAGAGAAAGTCAGGGAGAGACAAAGAAATGGAAAGAGAGAGACAGGGAGAGACACAGAGAGAGAGAAAGTCAGGGAGAGACAAAGAAATGGAAAAAGAGAGACAGGGAGAGACAGAGAGAGAGAGAAAGTCAGGGAGAGACAATGAAATGGAAAGAGAGACAGAGACAGAGAGAGAGAAAGTCAGGGAGAGACAAAGAAATGGAAAGAGAGAGACGGAGAGAGAGAGACACAGAGAGAAAGAGACAGAGAGAGAGAGACAGAGAGACATGGAAATTCAGAGACAGAGAAAGAGATGAGAGATGATGGGGCAAGAGACAGAGAAAGAAAGAAAAACAGAGGCAGAGAGATTTAGAACCGGGAGGGGAGAGAAGTGGACAGCGAGAGGGACTGAGATGGGAAGAGACACAGAGACAGATGGAGAGACAGAGACAGATGGAGAGACAGCGACAGAGAGAGCCGGAGACCGCCGAGCCGCTGCGCGGGCGGGACGGCGGGGAAGTCGAGGAAGGAGCGCGGCCCCTCTCACCTGGCGTCCGCGGCGGCCGCCCCCCGGGCTGGACCGGGTGATTTAAGGGGCGCCCTGGGGGCGGGCCCGCTCCCCCCTACCGCCTTATCTGGTCAGCCCCGGCCCAAGAGCTAAATCGGGCCTCAGCTGTCAGCACCCCAGGGCGCGGGACAGCTGTCACAGCCCCTGCACCTGCCTCGTGACCGCAGCCCCCCTCCTGCAACGGGGCAGGCATGAGAGGCCCCTGTGGGTCTGCATGGAGCGCCCCCAATGGGCAGCCGGGACCCTCAAGAGCCCCCCCACGCCCCACAGGAAGCTCTGGGACCAGCCTGGCTGGGCGCCCTGGGGCAAGGGAGTCAGGCGTTGTTCCCGTGGGACATGGGGATCCCAGCGGGGGAGGGCCAGCGAGGGTGCGTGCGGCTTTGGGCACAGTTTAAGGGGCAAACAGTAAGCACTCAATCAGTGCACAGGCTGGGCCTGCCCAGGCTCTCACCTGCGCAGAGCAGGAGGGGTTAGCGCATGAGGGGGCTGGGAGCGGGAGGGGAGGGAGGCTGCCTGGACCCCTTCCCCTCTCCATCCCCCCAGGTCCCACCATCCCCTGCGGGCTCCTCACCAGGACCATATTAGGCCACAGCTGAGAAGGCACCTGGGGAGGTCACTCAGGCCCCAGAATAGAAACACTCAGGGAGTCCCGCCAGGCTGTCTGGGACAAGATGGGACAGGCGACAGGCACAGAGGCGGGGCCCCAGAGGGCCCAGGGGGGCTCAGGGCTCAGGCGGGCACAGACCCAGAGAGAGACAGAGGCTGAGAGAGACAGACAGAGAGAAGCATCTAGAAGGAGAGAGCAAGAGAGGGACACAGAGGGAGGAGGCCCTGGAAGGAAGGAAGGAAGAAAGGAACGGCCGCCCGGAGTTGGGGTCCCGGGACCCCAGCTGTTTTTCGCTCCTGTGCTGTTTGACTTTTCACTTTACAAGTTGCCCTTTGACCTCTGGAATTGTCTGGAACCAGGACCCACCAAGCCAGGTCCCCATGTCACTGTCGGCTTTTTACGAGCGCGTCCTGTGGCACCCGCTCCCACCTTCTCTTGGTGTTGGTTTAGCTCGTGTCCCTGGAGGAGCTGACTGTCCAGTGGAGCCGGCCCAAGGAGGGAGACGCCCCAAGCTGGGCCCCGCTGCCTCTCCCTGCGCCCCGCCTCCCTGTGCCTCTGCGTGCCCCATTTCTGCCCCTCTCCACCTGCTCCCTCCCATGGCTCACACACACATGCCTCCCGCCCTGGACAGGCCCGTGACCCCTGAAGCCACGACCCTGGGCCCCCTCCCCCATGTCACCCGGCCTGTCACATCCTTATTTGCCACCGCACACAGCATGTCCCCCAAACCCACTCCTCCTCCCGGGGTCCCATCTCGTGGGGGTGGCCGCTATCCTCTGGGTCCCAGGCCAGACCCCTGGGCACCTTCACTGCCCCTCCCTCACCCCCAGGGTGCCAGGCCCAGAGCTGCCCTGACTCTTCGTCACCTCCTCTCTCTGCCCAGGGTCCTGGCTCAGGCCTAGACCTCTCCCGTCTGCCCCCACACGGCCCCACAGGGGTCTGTCGGTGCCCAGGACTGACCTGCCCACCCGCCCTGAACCAAGTGCAGCCCCTCTGCCGGCCCTCGGAGCCCCCCCACCCCCATCTCTCCTCACCTCCTCAGATAACCCCGATCACTCCCTCCAGGCCCAGCTCTCCTTCAGAGCTGCTCCCAATTCGGGACTGGGCCCTCCCTCCCCTCCCTCCCCTCCCACGGGCCCTCGGGAGAGCCCGCCTCAGCCTTCTAGAGCCAGCGCCCGGGGCCCTTCCCCTTCCTGTGGCCCCCACAGTGCCCCGTGGGACCCCCATTAGGGCCCCCACTGGGACTGGGGGGCCTCATGTCCTCTTGTGTCTTCCTCCCAGCCTGAGAGCTGCACAGGCCAGACCCAGTGGTGGGGCTCGGGGGACATGGGAAAGGACAAGGAAGCTGCACAGAGGGACAGCAGGCCCTGGGGAAGGACACGGAACAGGAGGGGGGCCTGCTCCGGTGAGAATGCGGAGAGAAGTCACCTAATGGGAGCCTGTCCTTCCTCTGCTCAGTCCGCCACCACGACAGGCACCATCTTCCCCCTTTGTCACCTCTCTGCCCTCCTCTCCTGCCCTCTCTCGCCTCCAGCACACCAGGCACACTCCTGCCTCAGGGCCTTTGCACTGGCCATTCTCTGCCTGGCATGCTCTTCCTCCAAGCCTCCCCATGGCTCCCTCCTTCCCCTTCTTCAAGTCTTTATTCAAACTACACCTTCTCAGGGAGGCCTCCTGCCCTAAATGAGTTCTAACACCACCATATTAGTTTCCTATGGCTGTTCTAACAAACTTAGTGGCTTAACACACATTTATTCTCTGACGCGTCTGGAGTTCAGAAGTCCAAGATGAGCCTCACTGGGCCAGAGTCAAGGTGCAGGCAGGCGGGTTCCTTCTGGGGGCCCCGGGGGAGAATTTGGTTGCCTGTTCCAGCTCCGGGAGGCTGCCTGCACTTCCTGGCTCGTAGCCCCTTCTCGTCTTCAAAGCCAGCAATGTAGCGTCTCTCTGACCCTGCTTCCTTCCGCTGCCTTCCTTACGTCTCTTTCTTCCTCTCCTCTCCTCCTCCCTCTGCACCTTTTTTTTTTTTTTTTTGCTGAAGAGGATTCGCCCTAAGCTAACATCCCTGCCAGTCTTCCTCTGTTTTTCAGTGTGTGGGCTGCCAGCGCAGCACGGCTGCCAACACAGCAGTGTAGGTCCGCGCCCGGGAAGCGAACCCAGGCCACCGGAGTGGAGCACGCTGAACTTAACCGCTAAGCCACGGGGCCGGCCCTCCCTCTCCACTTTTAAGGACGCTCGTGATTACACTGGGCCCACCCGGATAAAGCAGGATAATTTCCTTATTTTGAGGTCAGTGCATTAGCAACCTTCATTCCCCTCTGCCATGTAACGGAACGTACTCGCAGGTTCTAGGATATGGACGTGGACTTCTTTGGGGTCATTACTGCAATTGATGGAGTAGAATTGAGAGTCAAGAAATAAACCCCTTCTTGCTCCTTGGCACGTACCCCACGGAACGCTCTGGACTGCACTGATTCGTTTGCTCCTGGTCTCTCCCCTCCCACCTGGCAAGGGCAGGCATTGTGCTGTTCTCTGCTGTGCCCCCGTGAGGAAACAGGCCCAGAGAGGTGAGTGACCCGCATGACGTGGCGAAGCTGGGAGGCGGCAGGGAGCCGCGTGCGTGGTCTCCCGGGTGACCGCATGGCCCATGGGGGGACCGGGCTCTCCGATGAACGGAGTCACTGAAGGAGAGGGCCCCAGTCAGACGCGGCCAGGCCAGGAGCAAGTCAGCACGTTTATTGAGGCAGCAGCGGCGCTGGGGGGCAGGGGTGTGGGGAAGGGGCTGGGGCCTCCGCGGGCTCCGTGAGGTGCGGACCGGCCCTTCCCCGGCACTCCCTTGGGAGCCGGACGTGGACGCACAGGGACCGTGCCAGGCGGGAGGCTGTCCGTGCTTCCCTCCTCCGCGGGGTCAGTCTGTCCGCAGCCAGCTCCCCTTCTCCTCCACCTCCTTGGTCACCACCAGCAGCACCTCACACAGGCCCTGAGCCAGTGCGGCTGCCAGGAAGGCCCTGGGTGGAGAGACGGGGAGACTGAGGCCCAGGGGCTCCTGGGGAGGCCGTCTAGCGCCAAGCCCCAGCCCCGGGGTCGCCTCCCCTCACCTGACGCCGTCCTCGTCCCCCAGGGCCTTGGGGGCCCGCAGCTTGGAGTCCAGGTTGTAGTAGACGCCGTCCACCTGGCGCAGGGCCACCCAGTGCCGCCGGCGCAGTGGCAGGGACAGCAGGCCCAGCGACACGGGCGATGGCAGGTTCAGGATCAGCCCCAGCACCTGGGGCAGGGCCAGCTGTGACAGGGGCCTGCGGGGGCGGCACGGGGACACCATGGTCAGCGCCCAGTGTCACTCAGGGTCTGGGGCCCAGGCTGGCGTGGCAGCGGTGGCCGCCCGAGCCCACCCAAGGACTGTGCTCTGTCAGCCCACCCTTGCTTCCATCCACTCACCTGTTCACCCACCCAAACCTCCCCCCCAGTCAGCCACCAACCCAGCAACTCACTCTTCACCCATCCACTGTCCATCTATCCATTATCCATCCATTACGCACCCACCTACCCATCCGTCCACCACCCACCACCCATCAAAACCCCCCAGCAACCACCCGCCATCCAGCTTCCCATCTACTGTTCATCCCACCACCACCTACCCATCCAAGCCCCCGACCACCATCCACCCAACAACTTCTACACCATCCACCCATTTCTCCATCCACTCTTCATGTCTACCTTTGAGTCTGTTATCCATCCATTATACACCACAGACCCACCCGCCCACCCATCCAAACTTCCCAGCCATCTAACAACCATCCACCATCCAACTACCCATCTACTGTTCACCCAAATATTATCCATCCACTGACACAATCAGCCACCAGCCAGCCAGCCACCAACCCAACTACTTATCTACCAGCCACCCAACTCCTCATCCACTCTTTACCCATCCATCCACGCCTCCATCCATCCACCCAACCACTTACGTGCTATCCACTGCCTACCAACTATCCATCTTGTACTCGCTCAGCCACTAAACCACCCATCTATTCATACACCCCATCACCCAATCACTGCCTACTCAACACATCTAACCCCCCATTCACCATCCACTTAGTTACCCAATTACCATCTGTCCACCCATCATCCATCCATCAACTCATCTAGTCATCCCACTCCTCCTTCTGCCATCTCCCAACCCATCAGTCCACCAGCATCCACCATCCAACTGTCCATCTACTGTTGACCCAAACATCATCCACCCACTGACACAATCAACCACCAGCCAGCCAGCGACCAACCAACAACTTATCCACCAGCCACCCAACTCCTCATCCACTCTTTACCCATCCATCCACCCCTCCATCCATCCATCCACCCATCTACCCACCCAACCACTTACTTGCTATCCACTACCTACCAATTGTCCATCTTATATTCACTCAACCACCCATCTATTCATACACCCCATCACCCAATCACCGCCTACTTAACACATCCAACCCCCCACTCCCCATCCACTTACCCAGTTACCATCAGTTCACTCATCATCCGTCCATCAACTCATCCCATTGACCATCCAGTCATCCCACTTATCCTTCTGCCATCTCCCAACTCATCAGTCCACCAGCATCCACCATCCTTCCACGCAAACCTTCCATCCACCCACCTCTTCCTTCCTCCTTCTCTCCACTCATCCCCTTTCCCACTTCAGCCCACACTGACTACCATCCCACAGCACCCCCTGTGCCAGGCTCAGACACGTGACACAGCGCCTTGAGTCCCACCTCCTTCTGTCCCACCACACGGCGGCCAGGCCCAGCCCCTGCAGGGCTGCCATGATCACGTTGACATCATAGTTGCCGGTGCCCAGGAGGCTGCGATGGGGGTTCAGCCGGGAGTCTGGGGCCAACCTGGTTGGGAAGTGGTCGGAGGCTGAGTTGGGGGCCCCTGGAAAGGCCTCACAGTCCCCACAGAGCAGGAGAGCCCCAGGGTCTGTGAGTCACCCGACCTTTGGACTCTTCCTTCTCTTCAGCCCCCATGATTCCTCGTGCCCCCGACCCTCTCTGCCCTGTCCTCCAACCACTTCTCCCTGCTCAGGCCTGTCCTCCACCTGCACCCGCACCAGCCTCCAGTCTCCTGCTCCAGTCCACCTCCCTCAGGGCCTGGGGGCTCCTCCTGCACCCAGTGCTCATCCGCCCCTCCCCTGCTCCCAGCCCTGCCCATCACCTCAGGATAGAGTCCCAGCCCCTCAGCCTGGCCTTCGAGGCCCCACCTGGTCTGGTCCCTGCTGGCCTCCGTCCCACCCCACCCCTTCCCAGCCATCTGTCCCCAACCACATCTCCTATGCTCCTGCCTCCCGGCCCTTCCTCCAGCTGTCTGTCCCCGAGCCCAGGAGGCCCACCCTGTCACCACTCGTCTCTCTGGGCCCTGCCTCTTCTGAACAAGGGCACCTTTGTTCTCTCTCTGGGTTCTTGGTGGGCAGGGTGGGGGAGGGGTCGGAGAGGGGCAAGTTTGTGTATTATTTTTCTGTGTATCTGTTTCCCTGGCCTCCCTCAAGGCAGGGCTCATAGTAGACTGATTTCTGGGTCTCCAGCGTGGCCTTGGCATGAAAGAGTTGATGGATCCCTGTTTTGAATGACAGGCGATGAATAAGTTCTATAATAATCAGTCTGAGGGGTTGGGATGCCTGAGGATTCTGAGGGGCCACGGGAGGGCTGTGAGCAAGAGAGGGGGAGACAGGGTCATCTCTAGGTGTAGGTCATTGGGGGACTGACTGGAGGGGAGAGACTGGAGGCCAAGGGGAGGGCCCAGGAGTTGATGGGGCCTGGGCTGGGGCTGTGGGGACAGAGGCGGGGATGAGGCGGAGAGATAACAAAGTGATGTTTGACATCTTGAATAGAGAGGAGAGACGTTCCAGGATGCCAAGAGGAGGAAGCCGTGCCAGACAGAAAGAATGGCCCGTGCAAAGGCCCAGAGGCATCATAGTGGGGCTCATTCAGGGACTGGAGAGGAATTTGGTTTGAGGGGAGCGGTGGGATATGAAGCTGCAGAGGGAGGCGGGGACCAGAGCATGCAGGGCCTTGGTTATCAGGCTATGGGGCTTGGGACATCTCCCAGGGGTGCGGGGGAGCCAGAGGAGGGCTGTGAGCAGGGGACGGGCAAGGTAAGCGCTGGGTCCCTGTGTGGACTGGAGGAGAAAACTGGAAGCTGGGAGGCTGGAGAGGAGGTGGGGACAAGGAGGGCCCAGATAAGAGAGGGTGGGGCGTGAGCTAGGGCTGCGGCGTGGGGACAGATAGGTGCGGAGGCTACAGCTCCATCTCTGAGTCCCCGGGTCCAGCCCAGGTGGGTGATTGGGCCAGCAGAAAGCCCCCGGGCTCTGCCTCTGCCTTGCTATGAGACCCAGGTGGGTGGCTCGGCCTCTGTAAGCCCCGCTTCTCCAGGGGTCAGGGTGGGTGATGGTCACCTCTTGCAGATCTCGTCGGCAGCCTCCTGGGTAAAGAGCTGCTGCTGCAGAACGTTGTTGAGGGCGTGGACGGCACACAACTCCAGGCGCTGCCGTTCGTGGTACACGGAGGGTGGGCTCGGCTGTGCTCCTGGGGCCTGGGACATGCCGTCCTCGGCTCCTGCTTAGGGGGCGTGGGGAGAAGGTACTCGGGGGCCCGGGATCTGGAGGCCCAACCTGCCAGCAGGCCCTGGGGGCACTGCCATTGGGGCGGGGACAGCCTGAGAGGCCACTGCACCCCTGACCCTTCTCCCTGGGTCCTTTCCTGGCGACAGGGTACCTCCATCCTCTACTCCCAGGAAAAGGCTCTCTCTTTTGCTCACCTAGCAACAGAGGACCACCCCCGCTGCATCCCTAAGTGAAAGGGTCCCTATGGTGGTCACCTAGCAACGGAGAAACCCCTCCTCCCCTGTCCCTAGGTAACAGGCTCCCTCTCTGGTTACCTAGCAACAGAGGACCCTCCCCAACTAGGTAACAAGTCTCTCCTCTGGTTACTTAGCAATAGAGGGAGACTCCTCCCCTGTCTCTAGGTAACAGGGTCTCTTCTGGTCGCCTAGCAACAAAAGACTCCCCTCCCCTGTCACTAAACAACAGGATTCTCTCTTCCTGTCACCTGGCAACAGGGCCCCCTCCCCGGACACCAAGTAACAGAGCTCTTTCCCCGGCCTGTACCCCAACCGCCGCGCTCGCCCGTTGCCTGGCAATGCCCCTCACCCCGCCTGCCTCTCTGCTCCCCCGAACAAGGGGCTTCCGCATCCCCCTGGCCGGCGGCTCTGAGTTCCGAGTGCGGGCCTGGCAGCACCACTCTGACTGGGCAGACGGGACGGACTACAGCTCCCGGCGGCCCCCGCGTGCTGGACTACGACTCCCGGCGCCCCCCTCAAGAGTTCTCGCTCTGCTCGGATCGTCTGGGCAGCGTAACGCGGAAGTCCGCTCTCGCCCCAAGAGCGCGGAACTACAACTCCCGTCGGCCCCTGCGGTGAATCCCGGAACTCTGAGGTACAGAGGCCCATCCCTTCGCGCACTACCACGCCGCCTGCTGCTCAGAGGGTTCTGGGAAATGTAGTAGGTTCTCGCGATAGTTTCCAGGAGTGTTGCTCCCATGTGTACCCGCCCCCTACGATAGCGTCATGTCTAGTGTGAGGATGAAGCGTGACGTCACAGAAAGGCAGCTAGGGACCAGACACCAAACCGTGCTGGGAGAAGAGCCTCCAATATTTACTGGGATGGGAGGGAGATCCGGGGAAACAGAGGCCAGGGCAGCAGCGGGACGGTGATGGGGAGGTAAATGAGGCGAGGAGGTCCTCTCGGGAAGGAGGCGGCTTCTCAGCAGAGATGGATCCCCGGCCTGGAGGGGAGCTGGCAGCAGCCTGCGGGGGGATACGGGGAATGAAAGGCTGAGGCAGAGAGAGGAGGAGACACAGATACCTGGAGGAAGGGACAGAGCAGGTGCGGGTGGAGGAAGCCCTGGAGAGAGGGACTGAGACCCAGAGGGGGACAGAGACACACGCAGAGAAGCTAGGGTCCCAGAGAGAGGGGGACACAGAGACTCAGAGAGAGGAGACTTGGACAGAGAGAGAGAGAGAGATGAAGATTCAAAGTAGTGGAGCAGAAGGTTAAGGAGACTCAGAAATAAAGATCAATTAACAGAGACAGAATCAGAGCCGCCGAGCACCGGAGCCCAGGCACGGGGAGGGCGCCGCTGGCACCGGGGAGGGGCCTGGCCGCACCCAGGAGGCTGCGCCAGAAGGCGGTGACAGTGGCAGAGCCCGTGACAGCGCCCGGCTCGGCGGGGTTCTCCCTGTGGGTGTGCACAGCCAAGCTTCGGCCTGTGGGGCCCGGGGGTCCGCGCAGCTCCACGTCCACCACGTGCATGTCCGTGAGGCTGGGGCACGCAGAGTGGTCAGTTCGGCCGGCCCGGCCCCAGCCCCAGGCCCCGCTCGGCTAGCTCACCTGAGATCGGCCACCAGCACCCCGATGACGCCGTCGAAGCCCAGGCTGGGGGCGGCCAGCGCGGCGGCCGCCATGGTGTTGGAGTTGCGGGGGGCAAAGGGGCAGAGCCCGCGGACAGGGCCTTCGTAAAGCAGCGTGCGAGGCCCGGTGCTGCGCGCTGCCGCCAGGGGTCCCTCGAGCCGGAAGCCGTCGGGGTGCGTGGCCATGGTGACACGGAGGCTCTGGAAGTGACAGCTGGGGTCAGGGGGTCTGGGGTCTCTGCAGGCCCCCTCCGGTTCCCGGGGAGCCCACTGGGCCCTCACCTGGAGGCCCCCTGCTGCGTCCAATCTGGTGATGTCCTCCGTGCCCCACAGGGCCCCCCGGGCCACGAACACAGCGTGGTCCCAGCGACGCGAGGCCTCCAGGAGCTGCTGCTCGGTGGCCGGGTCAGCCAGGGCTGAGGGGGACCCCACCTGGGGCAGATGAAGTGGGGAGGGGCTGAGGTCAGGGGACCGATCCCACTGTAGGGTGGGGTGGGGCCAAGGCGGAAGGGGCGGGGCTCACCAAGAGATTGGCATAGCGCAGGATTTGTGCCCCAGATTCCTGGATTATTTTGGGATGGGCCACTTCCACCACAAGGTCAGGGTGCCTGGGAGAGGGAGAGATGGGGGAGGGCCTTGGAGAACATTAGGCCTCCCCTCCCAGGTTCCCTCAGTCTGTAGAGGCCTGGCACTCTTCCTCCTGGCCCAGGAGGGGAAACAGGGTGGATGGGCCTGTCCCATTTCACGTTTGGGTGAACCAAGGCCCAGAGAGGGTAAGGGACTCGCCTGAAATCACACAGCACCCAAGGGAGGCGAGAACAGGAGCTTCAGGCAACCCCACTCTTTCGTGGCGAGGTCACTGACCTCTCCCCAAGGGCAGCGAGGTGCTGGAGCTGCAGGGAAGCGGGCACGCTCCCTGCCATTCGTGCTGGGTCACGATTCCAGACAAAAACAAGTTCTAGGCCCACTTCCGGTCCCTGAGTCAGCAGGTGGGAGACAAGGGACTGTCCTGGGGAGAGGAAAAGAGACTCAGAGAGAGGGGACAGAGACCCAGAGAGAGGGGACAGAGACCCAGAGAGGGGGGACAGAGACCAGAGAGAGGGGGACAGAGACCCAGAGAGAGGGGACAGGGACCCAGGGAGAGGGGGACAGAGACCCAGGGAGAGGGGGACAGAGACCCATGGAGAGGGGGACAGAGACCCAGGGAGAGGGGGACAGGGACCCAGAGAGAGGGGACAGAGACCCAGAGAGGGGGGACAGAGACCAGAGAGAGGGGGACAGAGACCCAGAGAGAGGGGACAGGGACCCAGGGAGAGGGGGACAGAGACCCAGGGAGAGGGGGACAGAGACCCATGGAGAGGGGGACAGAGACCCAGGGAGAGGGGGACAGGGACCCAGAGAGAGGGGGACAGGGACCCAGAGGGAGGTGGCCAGGGACCCAGACGGAGGGGGCCAGGGACCCAGGGAGAGGGGGCCAGGGACCCAGGGAGAGGGGGACAGGGACCCAGAGGGAGAGGGACAGAGACCCAGAGGGAGGGGGACAGAGACCCAGAGGGAGGGGGACAGGGACCAGAGAGAGGGGACAGAGACCCGGGGCGGGGACAGAGACCCAGAGGGAGGAGGACAGGGACCCAGAAGGGGATGGAGCCCCGCGGTGGAAAGTGGAAGGTGCTCAGGCAGACAGGGAGACAGGGCACAGATAAAGACAGATGAAAAGTGTGTTTGTGGAGGGCACAAGGGCTTTTGGGGGCTTCATGATGGGGCCTGGGGAAGAGGCCCCAGACAGTCAGGGACTCACCGAGCCGGCCGTAGCCCACCACCCCCACCCTCCGCGGGACCCTGTCGAGGGCCATGCCCTTGAGTCTGCTGGTCTGCTGTCCGAGCTCTGTCGGCTGCTCCCTGCTTCCCCCCGCCCCCCACCGAGGCCTGGACAGTGGCTGATCTTTGGACGTTTGACCCTTGAGCCTGTCCAGAACTTTCCCCCCTCCCTGTAGTGCCTGGAAGTGGGGGTGCAGGTTTGCTGCCTGGGGGCGGGGTGAGCATCCTGGGGGCAGTGGGCACGATGATTCGGGGTTCCAGGGGCCCCACGTGGCCCCCACTGTACCCGACCTGGTCCTTCTCTGCATCACGCCCTCCTCCCTTCCTGCTGATGTGGAAAATTTCCTCTGCAGTCCCCCGCCCCCCTTTCTGGCTGGCCAGGTTGCCATGGAAACTGCATCCTGCTTGGGGTAGGGGTAGAGACGGTTGGGAGTGAGGGAGAGGTGATGGTGGCGGGGACTCTGGGTTCTCAGTCTGTCCCTTGCCCCTGGGTTTCCAGTCCCCGCCCTGGTGGCCGCTCCCCCTGTGCCTTGGTACCTGTGTTTCTGCCAACATTCCTCCTCCGTGTTTTCTCCCTTCTCTGTTCCTGTCTCTGATCTTGCTCCCACCCTGTTGCCGTCTCTCGGCTTCTCCCTGGGTCTCTGGCTTTCCAGCCCCCGCCCCCATGTCCTCTGGGCTGGCTGCCCTCCTGTCCCCAGGCAGGCCAGGCCTGCGTCTCCTCCGAGGGAGGCCTGGCCTGTTCGTGCCCCGTCTCCCCACAAGGCAGCAGGAGCGGGAGTTGGGCTCACCCTAGCCTCAGCGGGCCGTCTCCGCAGCCCTTCTCCAGAACCTCCCTCCCTCCCTCCACCTGATCATCCCTCAGTTCACCTTGACTTCCCACCTTTCATCCTCCCTCCCCCACCACGATGCTCCCAGACACCCCCATGTTGCATTCTCGCTCTCACACCCGTCCCGCCCCTCTCCCCACCTCCCTTCCGCTGGGAGAAGCCTGCAGGGCCTGGGGAGGCCCCGAGTGCCCCCCAAATGAGCCCCCCGCCGCTGCGCCTCGCGGGTGCCTGGCATGGGAAATGGCGGAGGCTGCGGCAGTGCTGGCTCCCTGCCCCCAGCCACCACCTGGTACCCGCTGCAGCGTTGCCATGGCAACCAGGATGGCACTGAAAGAGGATGAGAGAGAGAAAGGGAGCATGAAAGAGAGCGCGAGGAGGAGAGTCCCAAGTCAACAGGCAGCGGAGCGGACAGAGCAGACAGATGGCGCCAGGGACCCCACCCAGACGGTCGTCGCAAAGGTGGCAGCTCTGATAAGGGGAGAATTTGCTTTAAGAGCCCTGGTGGGGGGAGATGCTGTGGGGCAGAAACAGCCAAGGAAGAGGGGCAGGGCCAGACGCGTGGAACGGGTCCAGGCTCACAGGGCACTCCTTCAGTCATGACTCCACGGGGCCTGGGGGTCCTACACAGCACCCAGGCCTGCCATGTATGGGGGCCAGACTGGGCCACAGCGAGGGGAGAAAGGGGCCGAGCCCCGGCCTGCACCCCTCACCAGCCCTGCATGTCAACAGCCATGTCTGCCCCAGAGGGACGCCTCATCCTGCGCGGACCCTCTGCTTCTGTCCGCCTCTGCCTGTCTACACGGGACTGGCCCGCCCCGGTCCTCTTGAGGCCGTGCAGGCACGTCGGCCTCCTCGGGCCCCACCAGCTGCTGCCCACAGTCCTGGCCGACCCCTGGCGTTTGCTCCCACTCGCTGCCTCCTGTCCCTCCTCCGAGGGGTCTGCACGTGGCCCCCTCCCACGCCCCAGGCCCGGGCCCCATCCCTCCTGCCTCTGCGTTAACCAGACAACAGCGCAGCCCCCTCCTGCTCAGCGGGCCCCTAGAGCACCCCTTGCACCCCCACGTCCCCCCTTCTCTCCCCTTCGGTGCCACCCGCTGTCTCCGGGCAGTGTCTCGAATGGGTCTGCAGTGGAAAGGGACACTCTGGTTTGGCTCTGTTGCGGGTTGAATTATGTCCTCCAAAAAGATACGCTGCAGTCCTGACCTCCAGGACCTGTGAATGTGACCCTATTTGGAAACAGGGTCTTGGCAGATGATCCAGTTAAGATGAGGTCGTACTGGAGTGGGGGGGGGCCCTAATCCAACATGCCCAGTGTCCTTATAAAAAGGGGAACTTTGGGCCCAGAGACAAGCACAGGAGGGAAGACGAGGTGACAAGACACAGGGAGAACGCCATGTGGAGACCGGGGTGACAGTGTCACAAGAAAGGAACGTCTGGGGTGACCAGAAGCTGGAAGAGGGGAGGACGATCTCCCCCATGCCGGTTCCAGAGGGGGCAGGGCCCTGCCCACACCTTGATCTGGGAGTCCTGGATCCAGAACCCTGAGACACTGAATTCCTGTTGTTCTGAGCCCCCCCAGTCTGTGGTACCTTGTTGGAGCCACCCCAGAAACTAACACAGGCCCCCTCGATTTCTGCTGTGAAGTGGGGGGCGGGGGGAGGGAGGAAGACCCCAGTATGTGCCTCAAAAGGACTGCGGGGAGATCAAATACACATGTGCGGGCTAAGACCACCCCTTCCGGATGGGGCCTGTGACCTTGAGCTTCCCTCCTCTCATTCTGCTCCCCACCCACATTCCCTGTTTTCTGTCTCCTCCATGCTTTCATGACCCCAAAAAAATATTTTTTTACTTTTTCCGTGTTTTTTTTTTTAAAGTAATTACAGAGCAGGTAGTCGTTGACGCAAACCTCCCTTCAGTATCAAAAGAGTCTGTGGGGCAGGTGAGGGCTGGGGTGGCGGTGGGGGCGGGTGGAGGCAGCCCCCCCCCAGCACACGGGGGCCCGGCCAGAGGGGACTCAGCGCGGGGACAGGGCCGGGGGGTCCGGAGGCTCTGATGACGTGTCCGTCTCTTCAGTTTCGGGGAGGGGGGACAGGCGTCAAACTGCAAAAAATGAACCGTCAAAGGGGGTTTGTTAGGGGTGAGGGGAAAGGCCGCCCCTCAAAAAAGCTCCTCTCTCCCCTGGAAGGCGGGGGGCCGGGAACGGTTGGTGGGGAGAGCGCGGAGGAACAGCAGAGGGTTCCCGGCTTCTCCTGAACCCTGCGTCCCCTCCCGTCGCCGGGATGGGGGGCGAGGTGGGAACCACGGAGCCCCACCCTGTCCTCGCTGGGGCAGCCGCCCGGGGTCCAGACGCGATGGGGCTCGGAGCCGCCTGCCCCAGCTGCCCCGTGCGCCCCAGAGCGGGGCCGGGGCTGCGGGGAGGGTCCCGGTCTGGCCCGAGCCCCCCGCCCGTGGCTTCAGATCTGCGTCTCTTGTACGTTCTCCTTGGAGCCGCTCTTGAAGAGCAGAGGTTCGTGAATGGAGTTGAGGCCGGGCGGGCCCTTGCCCCCGCAGCCCCCGCCGCTGGGGTTGCTGCTGTAGTGAGCCTTGAAGGCCGCCGCCACGTAGTGGTGGTGGTTGAGGTGGTCGCGCTCCAGGGCGGGCAGGGCCAGGTGGCTGTCCCCGCCCACGCCTGCCCCGCCGGCCACGGCGGTGGCGGCGGCCACGGACACGGCCGAGGCGGCGGGCAGCTCGTCCTCCACGTTGATGATCTCCACGGTGCGCGTGGGCCCGTGGTGCTTGTGGAGCTGGTGCTGCTTGCGCAGCTTGTAGAAGGCCACCAGCATCACGGCGGCCATGAACGTGATGGCCACAAAGCAGCCGATGATGATCTTGGTGGTCTTCATGACGTCGTCCAGGTCCTTGAGGGCGTTCTCCGTCACGTCCGTGATGGGCACCGTGAACGCCTTCTCCGTGGGCCGCGAGGAGCGCGGGGCCGGCGCGGTGGTGGACGACGAGGCCGGGCCGGCCGCATCCCCGGGCCGGCCCCCACCCCAGACGCCGTCCGTCGTGGGCCCCGGTGGCTCCTTCTCCGTCCCCCGCGGCTGCAGGGCCTCCTCTCCGGGCTGCGTCTCCAGGGTCTCCACGGTCACCGTGGTGAAGTAGGTGTAGCCACCGCTGCCCCCTGGGCCACCGCTGCCCCCAGGGCCACCCCCTGGGCCGCCCGCCCCGCCGGCCGCCACGGGGTCCACGGCCGAGACGTTGAGCGTGGCGGAGGCGGTGGTGTTGCCGGCCGAGTTCGTCACCATGCACGTGTACTGGCCCGTATCCTGCACGGTGACGTTGGTGAAGTTGAGCGTGCCGTCGTGCAGAACGGAGATGCGCACGCGGTAGGAGCCGTGGGTCATGAGGGTGCCGTTGGGCGTCAGCCAGTTGACGGAGGTCATGGAGGTGCCCGTGCGGCACTTGAGCTCGGCGGCCATGCCCTCGGTGACGTTGAGGTCCGTGGGCGGCTCCACGATGACGGGCGCGTAGCAGGTGAAATGCGACTGGTCCAGCTCGCCGATGTAGCGGCCCTTGAGGCCGGCGGGCGCGTGGCAGCGGGCGCAGCACGTCGTGTTGCTGGGCACCGTCTCCTTGAGCCACCAGCTCAGCCAGAGCACGTCGCAGTTGCAGTGCCAGGGGTTATGGTTGAGGTGGACGCGCTCCAGGCGGTGCAGGGGCGTGAAGAGGTCGTGGGGCAGCGACATCAGGTTGTTGTGGGACAGGTTGAGCTCCTCCAGCGACTTGAGGTCGTCGAAGGCGTTGCGCTCGATGGTGGCCACCTGGGCGTGCATCAGCCACAGCTTCCGCAGGCTGGTGAGGCCCTGGAAGGAGCCCGGGCGGATCAGGTCCAGCCGGTTCCCCGACAGCTCCAGTTCCTCCAGGCGCACGAGGGCGGTCAGGTTGGGGATATCCTTGAGGTTGCACATGCCCAGGTTGAGGTAGCGCAGGTTGACGAGGCCCTCGAAGGCCGCCTCCGAGATGTACTCCAGCCGCTTCAGCTCGCCCAGGTCGAGGCGCCGCAGCGAGGGCACGCGGTTGAAGGCGTAGGAGGGGATGCTCTCGATGGGGTTGTTGCGCAGCCACAGCTCCCGCAGTTTGGACAGGTACTCGAAGGCCTGCGTGGGCACCGTGGTCAGCCGGTTGTCGAACAGCTCCAGCGTGTTGAGGCTGGGCAGCCCGTTGAAGGCGCCCACCTCGATCTTGCGCACCAGGTTCTTGCTCAGCTG